ACTGCAGCTTATTCATGAGAAATGTTATGTGGTGTATTCCAAGACAAAATTTAAATTATTTTCCCACTTTTGTTTTGGATCACTTATGCTAGTGATCTCTTCCATAACTAAGAACAAGCTGACCAACTAGAATTATCAGTCTTAGAATCTCTTTTTTTTTCCATGGGTGGATTTTAAGATTCCACCAAATACCTGGCTATTGATTACCAAGCTAAAGGAAGAACTAAAAATATCAAGCTCATTAAAATAAGTGAAAGATTTTACTATATAACTATTACACTTTAGAGTGAGATTTCCTACTCTTAATTACTTTTTTTTAAAAGATTTTATTTATTTATTTGACAGACAGAGATCACAAGGAGGCAGAGAGGCAGGCAGAGAGAGAGAGGGGGAAGCAGGCTCCTGCTGAGCAGAGAGCCCAATGTGGGGCTCGATCCCAGGACCCCGGAATCATGACCTGAGCCCAAGGCAGAGGCTTTAACCCACTGAGCCACCCAAGTGCCCCTCTTAATTACTTTTTTTAGACTCCACACCCAGTATGGAGCCTAATGCAGGGCCTCAACTCACGACCCTAAGATTAAGACCTGAGCCGAGATCAAGGGTCAGACACTTAACTGACTGAGCCACCCAGGTGCTCTGATTCTTAATTACTTTTAATTATATTTTGAGGTTGCTTTTATTTATGGAACAAATATTTTCACCAGGAATCCATACTACTACTACTGCTGCTGCTACTACTTCTACAACTAAATAATAATAATACCCATATTTTTAAAAAAGATTTTATTTATTTATTTGACACAGAGAGAGATCACAGGTAGGCAGAAAGGGAGGCGTCGGGGGTGGGGGGGGTGGAAGCAGGCTCCCTGCGGAGCAGAGAGCCCGACGTGGGGCTCGATCCCAGGACCCTGAGATCGCTACCTGAGCGGAAGGCAGAGGCTTAACCCACTGAGCCACCCAGGCGCCCCAATAATACCCATATTTTTAAGAAGATTTTATTTAGAGAGAGGAAGAGAGAGAAAGAATAAGAGAGAGAGAGAACACAAGTAGAGGGAGCAGCAGAGGGACAGGAAGAAGCAGGCTCCCCCGCTGAGCAAGGAGCGGGATGTGGGACTTGACTCCAGGACCTTAGGATCATGACCTGAGCTGAAGGCAGACACTTGACTGAGCCACGCAGGCATCCCAATAGTGCCCATATTTTAATGGCCTTTAGAACATTAATACCTTACCGCCTCTCAAAATCAATGGATGTAAAACTAAATTTATCATGAGTGTTCTGTAGTTCTCGAGTACACATCCTTTACCTCTTTGGTTAGTTTTATTCCCAGGTGTCTTATGGTTCTTGGTGCTATAGTAAATGGAATCGATTCTCTAATTTCCCTTTCTGTATTTTCATTGTTAGTGTATAAGAAAGCCACTGATTTCTGTACATTGACTTTGTATCCTGTCACGTTACTGAATTGCTGTATGAGTTCTAGTAGTTTGGGGATGGAGTCTTTTTGGTTTTCCATATAAAGAATCATGTCATCTGCGAAGAGAGAGAGTTTGACTTCTTCATTGCCAATTTGGATACCTTTTATTTCTCTTTGTTGTCTGATTGCTGTTGCTAGGACTTCTAATACTATGTTGAACAAGAATGGTGAGAGTGGGCATCCTTGTCGTGTTCCTGATCTCAACGGGAAGGCTGCAAGCTTTTTCCCATTGAGGATGATATTTGCTATGGGTTTTTCATAGATAGATTTGATGAAGTTCAGGAATGTTCCCTCTACCCCTATACTTTGAAGCATTTTAATCAGGAACAGATGCTGGATTTTGTCAAATGCTTTTTCTGCATCAATTGAGAGGACCATGTGGTTCTTCTCTCTTTTCTTATTAATTTGTTCTATCACATTGATTGATTTGCGAATGTTGAACCATCCTTGTAGCCCAGGAATGAATCCCACCTGGTCATGGTGGATAATCTTTTTAATGTGCTGTTGGATCCTGTTTGCTAGGATCTTGTTGAGAATCTTAGCATCCATATTCATCAGTGATATTGGTCTGAAATTCTCCTTTTTTGGTAGGGTCTTTGCCTGGTTTGGGGATCAGGGTAATGCTGGCTTCATAGAAAGAGTCTGGAAGTTTTCCTTCTGCTTCAATTTTTTTTTTGAAACAGCTTCAGGAGAATAGGTGTTATTTCTTCTTTGAAAGTTTGGTAGAATTCCCCAGGGAATCCGTCAGGTCATATCCAGGATCTATAAAGAACTCCTCAAACTCAACACACACAAAACAGATAATCATATCAAAAAATGGGCAGAAGATATGAACAGATACTTCTCCAATGAAGACATACAAATGGCTATTAGACACATGAAAAAATGTTCATCATCACTAGCCATCAGGGAGATTCAAATTAAAACCACATTGAGATATCACCTTACACCATTTAGAATGGCCAAAATTAGCAAGACAGGAAACAACATGTGTTGGAGGGGATGTGGAGAAAGGGGAACCCTCTTACACTGTTGGTGGGAATGCAAGTTGGTGCAGCCTCTTTGGAGAACAGTGTGGAGATTCCTCAAGAAATTAAAAATAGAGCTTCCCTATGACCCTGCCATTGAACTACAGGGTATTTACCCCAAAGATACAGATGTAGTGAAAAGAAGGGCCATCTGTACCCCAATGTTTATAGCAGCAATGGCCACGGTTGTCAAACTGTGGAAAGAACCAAGATGCCCTTCAACGGACGAATGGATAAGGAAGATGTGGTCCATATACACTATGGAGTATGATGCCTTCCTCAGAAAGGATGAATACCCAACTTTTGTAGCAACATGGACGGGACTGGAAGAGATTATGCTGAGTGAAATAAGTCAAGCAGAGAGAGTCAATTATCATATGGTTTCACTTATTTGTGGAGCATAACAAATAGCATGGAGGACATGGGGAGTTAGTAGAAGGGAGTTGGGGGAAATTGGAAGGGGAGGTGAACAATGAGAGACTATGGACTCTGAAAAACAATCTGAAGGGTTTGAAGGGGTGGGTGGAACCAGGTGGTGGGTATTAGCAAGGGCACGGATTGCATGGAGCACTGGGTATGGTACAAAAACAATGAATACTTTTATGCTGAAAATAAATTAAAAAATGATTAAAAAAAACTAAATGTATCATCTTTCTTTTCCTTCCACTCCAACCTCTTAACTTCCTCCAGTTTTCCTCCTTTATCTCTGATAATGGTTAATAGCAACACCATCTATACATTGGTCCAAACCATAAACATATAAGTCATTGTAATCATTTCCTTTTTTCTCTATAATCTCCTTACTAGTTCCTGTCCTCCCAAATATATGTTAAAACTGCCACTTTTTCTTTATCCCCAGTGTCCATGCCTTAATTAAGATCTTCTGTGTACCACTATTGCAATTGCAGTAGTCTCCTAACTGATCTTCCATCCTGTGTCACTCCATTCTACCCTAAATGTCTCCAAAATGATTCCTCTCTAAAATGCTAATATAATCATTCTTCTCTAAAATGCTAATACAACCATTCCCCTGTTTAACTTTTCCATAGCCCCCTATTACCAATAGGATAAATTGCATTATTGGCATAGAAGGGCCCCATAATACATCAGTTGCCTAATTCTCTTGCTTATGATCTTTTATCTACTTTATCCATTTGTCTGGAATTCCTGCCTCATGTGTCCTTGCTGATTTCTGTTTGTCCTTTTATATTATGGTGTTATCTCCTCTAAGAAGGCTTTTCCAACTCATATTCCCAGGGATGAATACATGTTTGTTTTCTGTTCTAGTATTGCTCCCTGTGACTGTATCATGCTCAGCTTTGTGTCTTGAGAATCCTGGTTCCTAGCCCATATAGTAGGTGCTCAATAAGTATTAGTTGTTCTGCATTTACCTTTAACTCACTGCTGTAAAGAACTACTTTCTCATCTATTTACATATATGATCCTTATAATAACCCTAGAAGATTATAGGGCATGGTGGATGGTAGAATTAATGAGTGTGATTGCTTAATAAGTGGAGAATTTTCAATGGAATGCATATCTTCTGACTCCCAGCCCGGTAATTGTGTGTTTGTGCATATGTGTTTGTGTGTATGACTACATCATTAATTTTTGTAAGGTGCCAGCCAAAGATATGTATGTAATCATGGTAGTAGTTAAATCATATACAGTAGCTGAGCTTTAGGAATCCAATCATTGTTTTTATCATTGAATCAGGTGAGACAATAAAGATGTTCTTATTTTGAATAAAAGTAATACTAGGCTGTAGTAACTTAGAAGGTTATGGGAATATATGCTACAAAATCCTACAATACTACCTTTAAAGATTTTTTTAAAGATTTTATGTAATTATTTGACAGACAGAGATCACAAGTAGGCAGAGAGGCAGGCAGAGAGTGAGGAGGAAGCATGCTCCCTGCGGAGCAGAGAGCCCAAAGTGGGGCTCGATCCCAGGACCCTGGGACCATGACCTGAGCCGAAGGCAGAGGCTTTAACCCACTGAGCCACCCAGGTGCCCCATTATACTACCTTTAATCATGAACTAGCATGCTTAAATCTTTTCTTCCAAACAAAGTTATCTTACCATCTTAAAATTTAAACTTCATATCATCTTTTATTTTTTGCAGCTGATCCTGTTTCCTTTATTATCTTTTGAATTGGTAGAGTGTGAAGTATTGGAATAATTTGTGAAAGGAGATAGTGAAGAACAGTTGTTTGTACTTGGTTGTGAAATTCTAGGGTGTGTTTGTCCATGTGTATGTTTCAAATGCCTAATCAGTACTTGAGTCACATACACCTACATATAACTTTATCATTCCTGTAAGTACAGAAGATATTTTCTGTTTCTTTCCTAAGAGAATGAGATGAGAACTAATAGAGAAACTTCATTTGATTGGATTATTTGTTCCATTCTTCTTGAATGTGGTATGATGATTGCTAACTTTTAAGGTCTAAGTCATGAAATTTAATTGAACTGACTTTTGAAATTTTCTTCCAAAAGGTTTCACTGGAGGAAAAAAATGCAACTATTATTTATGACCCTAGACTACACACTCCAAAGACCCTACTGGAAGCTATTGATGACATGGGCTTTGATGCTATTCTCCACAATCCTAATCCTCTCCCTGTTTTAACTGAGACTGTGTTTCTGACTGTTGCTGCTTCACTGGCTGTGCCATGGGACCATATCCAAAACACATTGCTCAAGACCAAGGGTGTGACAGACATTAAAATTTCCCCTCAGCAAAGAACTGTAGTGGTGACGGTAATCCCTTCTATAGTGAATGCCAATCAGATAATAGAGCTGCTTCCAGATCTAAGTTTAGATACTGGAACTCTGGAGAAAAAGTCAGGAAATTGTGAAGATTACAGTGTGGCTCAAGCAGGTGAAGTCATGCTGAAGATGAAAGTAGAAGGGATGACTTGCCATTCATGCACCAGCACCATTGAAGGGAAAATTGGGAAGCTGCAAGGTGTTCAGCGAATTAAAGGTAATGTATTTTGTGTTATTTGCATGATCGTTTTGTGGGCTTAGTTTTCTGTTTTGGTCTTTGAGGTGTTTGCTTTCTTCTTAAGCATGGATTTTGAAAACACTGGACTAGAATACTTATTGTTTCGTTGAAGTCTGGGGATCAGTGTGGTATACCCAGGGTTAATGTAGGTAAAATTAATGATTATAATTAAAATTACATGAATCTTAAACAAGCAGAAAAGGTAGCAGGAGTGGCAGTTCATGGAGTTTAGGGTTTTTAATGCAACATACCTGGAGTCCTCTCTACCTCTAAGATATTTTTATTCAGGCATGTGGAAACATGGAGACCATAGATACAGTGGTCATATTTTTTGTTTTTTCCAGTCTGTGTCAGTAACATTTTCTGAAAAGAACTGAATTAGCTTAAGAGAGGATACTGACAACAAAGACAGAGAAACAATTATGTGTGGTATTAATTTGGTCTATAGAATGTTTTCCAAAGTGGCCTAGGAATAACTGATAAAATATTTCTCTTTTTATTAACTAGTTTCCCTGGACAACCAAGAAGCCACTATTGTTTATCAGCCTCATCTTATCACAGTAGAGGAAATAAAAAAGCAGATTGAAGCTGTGGGCTTTCCAGCATTCATCAAAAAACAGCCCAAGTACCTCAAATTGGGGGCTATTGATATAGAACGCCTAAAGAACACACCAGTCAAATCCTCAGAAGGATCACAGCAAAGGAGTCCATCATATACCAGTGATTCAACAGTCACTTTCCTTATAGATGGCATGCATTGTAAATCATGTGTATTAAATATTGAAAGTACTTTATCTACACTCCAATATGTAAGCAGCGTCACAGTTTCTTTAGAGAAGAGATCTGCCATCGTAAAGTACAATGCAAGCTCAGTCACTCCAGAAACCCTCAGAAAAGCAATAGAAGCCGTGTTACCAGGGCAATATAGAGTTAGTATTACAAGTGAAGTTGAGAGTACCTCAAACTCTCCCTCTAGCTCATCTCTTCAAAAGATCCCTTTGAACATAGCTAGCCATCCTCTGACTCAACAAACTGTGATAAACATTGATGGCATGACTTGTAATTCTTGTGTTCAGTCTATTGAGAGTGTCATATTAAAAAAGGCAGGTGTAAAATCCATACAAGTATCTCTTGCAAATGGCAATGGGACTGTTGAGTATGATCCTCTATTAACCACTCCAGAAACTTTGAGAGAAGCAATAGAAGACATGGGATTTGATGCTGCCTTGTCAGGTAATTATCATTCTTTTCTCAGATTCTGCTAATGTTTTTTATTTCCTGTTGGATTCTTTGGCTTTCATCAATAATAAATGAATAATAAGCACTGTAATTCCGGTTTTTGGAAGTAAGTCCTATAGAAGTAGTCAGTGATGTATACAAAGATGCATAAGGCTATTTGCATAATTATCTGTAATAATCAAAAACTAGAAACATTAAATCATGATGCATCCATACGATGAAATGCTATAGAGGCATAATAAATTATAGTACTAAAGATACTTAATGCCACAGGAAAGTGTCTGAGATATCTTGTTAAATGAAAAAATAAAAGCTAAAAACTTATATATTCAGTATGATCAAAATTTTAGAAACACATGTGTAAGTATTTATACCATGTAAATGTTGTTTATGTATATAAGTGAATAAAGTTCCTGGCAGGACATAAACTAAAATTTTAACAGTGGTTATTATATGAGTGGTAGGATAAAGGTGATATTTATTTCCATTGTGCTTGCCTATGTACTTTGTTTTTTGTGACAAGGATGTATGTGTGCATGTATAATGGGAGAAGCAAATGCTATTTTGAAAAGAAAGAAAAGGTAGGAATAAATAATAGAATTTTAACTGTAGCTTTAAATTTGGACATTCAAATGAAACTGACTCTAGAACTGCCCCAAAGTCTATTTCCTGACAGCTCTTACTGTGAACTGAAACCAAAAATGAATGTTCAATGAATTCGCTTATGGCAACTTGTTATTTTGAACTAGAGTTGAACCTAGCATTGAATTAAACTGGAAATGCCCTAATGAAATTCTTGCTGTAAATAAAATAGAAAAATTATATAACTAATTTCCAGACAGTGTTAACTTTTGCTATTCTGATCAGAATGAAGGATATCAAATAGCTATATTCTTTTCTCAAGCACACTAAAACTGAGAAGCATAAAAAATTAAACATATGCTCAAATTATTATGGTAGACAAATGTCAGTGGAAGAAGACCCAGAGACATACTAAATATTCTTAATTTTTACACTCATGACAAGTGGCAAATATTATAGAATTTTCTTTTTTTAAAATTTTTTAAGATTCTATTTATTTATTTGGCAGAGAGAGAGAGAGAGATCACAAGTAGGCAGAGAGGCAGGCGAAGAGGGAGGAGGAAGCAGGCTCCCTGCAGAGCACAGAGCCCAATGCGGGGCTCAATCCCAGGACCCTGAGATCATGACCTGCGCCGAAGGTAGAGGCTTAACCCACTGAGCCACCCAGGTGCCCCAGAAATTATAGAATTTTCACTTTTTATTTATTTATTTATTTTTTTTAGAATTTTCACTTTTTAATGTAAAGATATAGTTTGCATACCATAAAATTCACCCTTTTATTTATTTTTTAATTTCTTAGTTTTTAACTTTTGGAGTTTTTATTTTTTTATTTTTAAGGATTTTATTTATTTATTTATTTAATCTAATTTTATTTTATTATATGCTACCTCAAGGATGGCAAATGTAAGACATCTGTGGCGCCATCTCCCACGTCACTTGTAGCTCTTTTTTTTTTATGTTTAGTTAGCCTACATATAGTACATCATTAGTATCATTAGTTTTTGCTGTAGTGATCAACAGTTCATTAGTTGCATATAACACCCAGTGTTTATCACAACATGTACCCTCTCCTTAATAATAGGCACTGCATGTTAATACAGTTAATACCCATTATCTGGCTACCCCATCCCTCCAACCCTCTCCCTTCTGCAAGCCTCACTTTGTTTCCTGCAGTCCAGAATCTCTCATGGTTTATCTTCGTGTCTGATTTCTTCCCATTCAGTTTTCCCTCCCTTCCCCTATGGTCCACCACGCTATTCCTTATGTTCCACATATAAGTGAAACTGTATGATAATTGTTTTTCTCTGCTTGACTTATTTCACTCAGCATAATCCCCTCCAGTTTCATCCATGTCACTGCAAATGGTAGATACTCATCCTTTCTGATGGCTGAGTAATATTCCATTGTATCTATGAACCATATCTTCTTTATCCATTCATCTGTTAAAGGACATCTCATCTCCTTCCACATTTTGGCTATCATGGATATTGCTGCTTTGAAAATTCACCCTTTTAAAGTATACAGTCCAGTGGTTCTTAGTATATTCAGAGTTTGGAGCTGTTATCACTATCTAATTTTACAAGATTTTCATCACCCCCAAAAGAAACCCCGTGCCCATTAGTAGTCACTCCTCATTTCCCTTCCCTTTCCCTCAGCTCCTGTTATTTACTGTTCTGTTTTTTGTCTTTATGAATTTGACAACTGTAGGTACCATATAAGTGGTATCATAGAATATTTGTCCTTTTGTGTCTAACTTCTTTCATTTAGTATATTGTTTTCAAGGTACATAAATTTTCATCTATGTTTGTAACATATATCTGTATTTCATTCTTTTTGTTGCTAAATAGTATTCCATTGTGTATATACATATATACCTCATTTTGTTTCTCCACCTGTCAGTTCATGGAAATTTAGGTTGTTTCCACTTCTTGGCTTTTATGAATAATGCTGCTATGAACATTTGTGTATGCGTTTTTACATGAATAATGTTTTTGTTTCTTCTGGGTATATACCTAGGAGTGTAATTTCTGGGTCATAGGGTGAATACGTTTAACTTTTTCAGGAGCTGCCATGTTTCCAAAGTGGCTGAACCACTTTACATTGCCACCTAGAATTCTCACTTTAATAAAGACAATCTCAAAAGACCAAAATTCTTGTACTCAAGAAAAGAGACATATAATTCCTTATTAGAAAATTCACATAGGATACCGAAATATTAAAGGGCCTCTAGTACTAAATGTCTGAACAAAGTATGGGAGATCCATAATTACAAAAGGAAATGATTATGAAACAAGAAGAGGGGTCCCTGGGTGGCTCAGTAGGTTAAGCCTCTGCCTTCAGCTCAGGTCCTGATCTCAGGGTCCTGGGATCAAGCCCCACATCGGGCTCTTTGCTCAGCAGGGAGCCTGCTTCCTCCTCTCTCTCTGCCTGCCTCTCTGCCTACTTGTGATCTCTGTCTGTCAAATAAATAAATAAAATCTTAAAAAAAAGAAACAAAAATCTTAATTGAAATATTGAAGTGAAACTGTATCAGGTAGCCATAAAAATGAATAAAATTGGTTTCAGCAAAATTTCGTTGTATCTATCATTCCTTAAAATTTTTAATACTTTATTTATTTAGAGAGCACAAGCAGTGGGGAGGGGCAGAGGGAGCAGGAGAGAATCTTAAGCAGGCTCCATGCCCAGCATGGAGCCTGATGTGGAGCTCAATCTCACAAACCTGAGCCAAAATCAAGAGTCAGACACTTAACCAACTCAGCCACCCAGGTGCCCCCATTGCTTATAATTTTTTAAAATTTTCAAAATGACAGTATTTGAGGGGTGCCTGGGTGGCTCAGTTGTTAAGTGTCTGCCTTCAGCTTAGGTCATGATCCTAGGGTCCTGGGATTGAGCCCTGCATCGGCCTCCCTATGCTTCTCCCTCTCCCACTCCCCTGCTTGTGTTTCCTCTCTCGCTGTGTCTCTCTCTGTCAAATAAATAAATAAATAACCTTTTTTAAAAAAGACAGTATTTGAAACTGATTCACATTTTTGCTCGTATAATGTTGAATTAATCTTCAGAGTTTCTATTAAATTAAAATACTTCAGCATACATAATGCATTATGAACACCACATAAATTTAGTTTACATTAATATCAGCCAGACAAGTTACTTACACTGTGATATTCCTATGCTTCTTAAATACAGGAACTTAAATATAGGAACTCAAATCATATCAGTTTATATCACATATTGTATGAAAGTGAAATATTTTTTAAAAATCAGATCTGGTATCTGACATTATTGTAAGCAAGAACCTCACAGACTTCCAGATTGTACCTCTACATTGGAATTTATCCTATTCATTTGGGTCTGTATTTTTGCAGCTTCAAGTATGGTTCACAGATCAGCGGTAGAAGCACCATCACTGGGAGCTTGTTAGAACTAGACTCTCTGACCCACTGCATATCCATTAAGTAAAAATCTACATTTTAATTTTAATAAGCTCTCCAGGTAATTCATATGCACATTATAGTTTGAGAAGCCCTGGTATAAAATAATTTGCCATGGTGACCTCTATAAATAAAGTCTCTGAATTAAATCTGTATTAACATTGTTTATTTGCTACAATGATAATATAGTCATAAATAATATAATTTAAAATGGCATTTAAGAGTTTTTATATACAGATGTGAGCAGAGTAAAAGTAACTTTCCAACTACCTCACATGGCTTCAAAGATGGACTTGAGCAGTAGGAGAAGTTCTTTTTTTTTTAAATTAATTTATTTTTTTAAATAAACATATAATGTATTT